CAGTTCTGGAACGAGGTTTTTGGAAGTCGTTTCGGGAGATTCTCCGTTTCTGCTTGATCATTTTCAACTGAGGTGAAGTGGGTTCCCATTAAGCAAAATTTAACTTTAGGAAATAAAAAAAAGTCGCATGGAGCCAAATCAGGTGAATAAGGAGGATGCCCCATCACAGTAATATTTTTACTAGTCAGAAACTGCTTTGCAGACAGTGCCGTGTGAGCGGGTGCATTGTCCTGGTGCACCAGCGATCCATCGCTTCACAACTGTGGCCTTTTTTTCCTAATTTCTTCACGAAGTCTTTTTAGTATTTCAATGTAATAGTGTTAGTTAACAATCTGACTACTGGGAAACCACTCAATCATTACAATTTCATTAATGTCGAATTTTGATTTCGACATGCGTGTTTTTTTGGGTTTTGGGGATCCTGGAGACTTCCACTGCATCGACTGGCGCTTACTTTCTGGGTCATAGGTAAAAATCCATGTCTCATCACATGTTACAAAAGAGTTCAACAAATTTTACAAGAAACTTGATGTTTATTCGCTGTTCGGTTTTTACGTTAGACATTTTTCCGGCAAAATGCAGTTGCACGTGTTCACTAAATAACGCAATACTTCCAAATGGTATGACCGATTCAATCGAAATTGGTAACATGGATAGAGGAGGCATGTGGGATGATGCCACAAAAATAATTGCTGCCAATTCCATTGTTTTTTCAAGCTACAGACCTAGTCTCGTTACTTTTGTGTCACACCTCGTATATTGCTTGAGATTTGTACCTCATCGTCAGCTCAGTTTTCTAAACTCAGTAATAATAAAAATGATACCGAAGTTACTGTGACAGATATAGTGTGCCACTTTTATTATTATGTTCAGTAACGGTGAAAAGTGTAATAATCATTTAAGCTAACATATACATATGAAATTAAATATCCTAATAGAAATCGAACATCGCACTTTTTAAAATACACAAAGTAGCATTACAGTCGATTTTAATAAAACTTTTTCTTATGTATGTAGAATACATATTATTGTTCTGTTAATTGAAGTTGTTACGTTAAAGAAATCACCTTGTATGATAAACTATACTTTTATGACGTAGCTTTATACGTCCTTGACACTAAAATTACCACAGCAGTTAAATGACCATTCTACTAGTTTCTCATTTTAAGTTACAAAATTATTGGGTTTTTAAAGTCTACGTTGATTTTTATTAAGATAAAAAGACGTGTATACGCAACATGCCGGAAAAGTAATGGAACATTTTAAATTTAACGAAAACTAGCGCCATCTATTGAAATAATATTTTATCTGAAAAACTATATGTTACTACGAAACAAAACAATCATTATTGGAATCGATTAACAAGTTGTGAACTTCTAATTTAAAGCGACAGTATCTTTTTTCACCTTGTCACAATATGATGGAGCAAATATTAAATTTTGTTTCAAGCTCAGTAAAACTTTTACAGAAACATTTGAATCGATGAAAAAAAATTATGGCGATGGTTGTTTATTACACGTTCGAGTGGTATAAGTGAATCCTTGATGCTTTGAAAGACAACCCAAAGCCAAAAAAAAAAAAAAGAAATCACGGTTAGTTGATGGAAAAAGTGCGTAAAATAATTGCCTGCGATGCAATTTCAACTGTGAGATGGCGAACAAATTAACACTAGAACTACCGACATTAAATGCTCGTATATCGAACAATGAAAAATAAAATGAAAAGGGAAATAAATAAGTACTTAAGCATCAAGTAACATATAGAACTAGTTTTTACCTCAACAAAATATGACAGACATTTCCATAAAATTTTGTAATATAAAATGAGAAATTTGAAACCAGTTATTTTGACTGGTTGGTAGTTTTAGTATTAAATTTGTCCAAATGTAATGTCCAGGATTCACGAAATGGGATTTGAAGAAACGGAAAGTCTGTGCTCGGTTTGTTCCTCACGCCTTAAATAATGAGCAATAATTTACTCGCGTTGAATATTGCAGACACCTTATCAAAACAACCAGGCGAAACTGCATATTCTTAGAATCGATTGTAGCTCATGATGAGACATGATGTTTCAATCCTCAAACAAAGCGCCAAAGTGTTACGTGAAAGTCCTTAGGTTCTTCGAAATCGAAAAAATTGGGATTCCAAAAGTTCCGAGAGAAGGCTTTGCTTTTACGATTTTAAAGGTATACTTCGGGAATTCGTTCCACGGTGTTAAAATGTCAATGGATGTTATGGAACGCTTGTGGAAAAGAATCGTCCGAGTGCGTTCCTAAAATCAAACGCCGGAAGTTTTTGTTGCATAATGCATCATCTCACAGGATTCTCACTTTTCGTGAATTTTTAGAAAAATAAAACAGGTCTGTGCGATTCAACATCCTCCATATTCGCTTGACTTATCTTTATGTGATTATTTTCTTTCCCCAAAACTCAAATTGGTCATGAGAGGAAGGTTTTATGACAGTGTTACACAAGTCCAAGTAGTCGTAACTTGGGTCATTGAGGCGATTTTGCAAAACGACATAGAAGATTTATGCTAATATTGGTTGAACGTGCCCAGCAGCGTATTAACGCGGAAAGGATATGTTTTGAATATAAAAATTAATTTTAGCAAAATTAATTCTTCTGTTTTTATTTAAAAAGTTCCGTTACCTTTCCGACATACTGTGTATTAATTTATGTTTTATCATTCGTTTATAATATTTTAGCACTTCCAAGTTTTAAGACTATAGGAATTTGGAATCTTGCGATTTTGGAATTGTAGAATTTCATGATTATAGAAATTTGAAATTTTAAACTGTAGGATTTACAAATTGTACAATTTAGAAATATTGAGATTTAAAAATTTTGGAACTTCGGAAAGATCTTAGGACTTTAATTTGTTAATTAAAGATTGCAGATTTTAATATTATCAATTGACGATGCAGATTAAAACTTGGTTTACCTTGAACCTTGGAAACTTTTATGGGTTTATCGTTCAAGAACGCTCCGCGTCCTCTTCTCGCAGTAAATAGCTGCTCGAGAACAGGATTATAAACGATACCAATCACCATTTCCTTCTTAATTGCCAGACCAATTACAACACAGGTGTGTGGGAAACCGTGAACGAAGTTGGTGGTGCCATCGATGGGGTCTATAATCCATGTAGGGTCGTCGGTTAATTCCGGAAGTTCTTTCCCAGTTGATTCCTCGCCTATGAATCTGATATTAAATGTCTGATGTTTCTCTGTTTTTATTTGCAAATTAATATGAACTTATCAAGTACTTATTACGCTCACTCATTTATGAAACTTTACCACCTTATTGAGAATATCTAATTGAATATTCCTGTATTCCATGTTGAAGACGGCTAATTGTTTAAAAGGTATTAATTATTAAAGATTGTTATTCTTCAAAATTTTGAAGTAGAACACATTGACATTAACACACCGTGGGAGGCATAATCAAACGCTTGACTATCAAAAAGATTTACGGTTCAAATACCTATTACATTTAAAAATAAGTTGCAACGTTTTGTGAAACCTGTACAAAACAACCATTTTTGTGTACACTGTGATTTAATAGAACTCATTTTTTTTTTTAAATAAATAATATTTATGTTCTTTCATGATCTTCAAATTATTTACCATTTGGAAGAGATAGATGAATATAAGTTGCACCGATTTTTTTTACATATAGACAAGCGGAAAAAACGTCCACTTCAATTATTTAGTAGATTAAAATATATCTGACTAGGCATAAGAGGCTAAGTAAAAGGTGGAACAGTTTTAACACTATTTTTATAACGATTTTGTGTATACCTATTTCGACCAAAAGGTGTCTGTTGACATCTTTTCGTTTGAATGCAATAGCTTAATTCATTAATCTACAAAATATGCATAAATATAGCGGTATACACTAAAGTGCAATATGGCGGGAAATAAGCTAATATCAAAATTATGCTGCAACTTCTGTATTTTCCGTTACAACTGAAATTGGGATTTTTTAATTTGATTATAATTGATATGATGTTGCAAAATGGTGTTGATATTTATATGTAAAATGGCTTAAAATTGGACAGTGTCATGAAATCCTTAAGGTGTCAAAAGGCACCTCATGGTAGAATGAGTATACCATATGCACATTTTTAGATTTAGAATGAGCAGGAAAAATACTTTTGCTGAATTAATTTAATCATTATTGTCTGAGAAGTTAAAAAATTAATTGTGGAGAAATGATTTCAGTTAGAGAATAAATTAAAGTTAATATTTGAAAGGTATCTTTTGACGCCTCTTGGTAGAAATAGTGTTAGCCCTCCTAACACCGTAGAGTTAAGCAGCTAGCCATCTGCTTCCAGAATGAAGTATATGAATGTTTAATTAGATATAAGGCGACAAAGTTTTATAAATGTAGGAGCGTAATACTTGAAGAGCTACCTTCATAAATGAAAAGCTTTTTTAAAATTGTAATAATGTGTTTGTGTCTTAAACAAATTCACACCTTCAGTGACAGTGTTTTGACAATCAAGTGACGCATAGGAGGAATTTCATTTATATTGTCAATTTCAAGAATTTGACATTTCCACAGCTCTATATATGGCAGTACAGCTATTAATTTACTACACGAGAGTTATAGATAAATATAAATAAATACAATCATTGAATTAATATCGTGAGCTAGACATTTTAGTTGTAGAAAATGAAGTTTTAATGTAGGGGAATATCATTTGAATATTATTTATGCTAAAAGTAAGAAAAACATGCTAAAAAAAAATATTTTACCAGTTAGTCAATGTAGACAAGCAGTTAATGAGGAATGTATTTAATTTTCCTCTGAAGCCTTATATTATAACATTTTTCTATAATTCTTTAGTTTTTTAAAACAGTTAGAAATGATCTAGTCTTATAATTAACAATATACATCTAGAAAATATTTATTCTATACTCTGTATATTTATTGTTAACATGTACTTTACATGCAATCGTATCTGTTTTGATACTATTAAATTTCTTGAAATTTTATCTCTATAATTAATATTTATATATCATTGTTATGCATAACAGAGTTTTAAGCACTTTCGCAAGATGTGTTTTGGAGACGACCACTTTAATTAGAGCACGATGTTATTAATGATTAAAATTCTTTCATACTAACCGATTGAAGTTCATTAGTTTCGTCAATAAATATTCGAAAAAAATGTACCTGTGATTTGGGAATTTGGATTTAAGATTGCCGATGATGACGTCTTCTATTTTCCGATCATATTCGGTCACCAGGTCCCAGTCCCCTAGCTTCTGGTTAACATTCTTCATACCGTTGATGGCTGTTTTGAGTATCTTTGATAGAAAATCATGTAAGCTGGTTACTTTTTACTTATTTTAACATTTTAGATGGTATTTGTGATTTTCTATTTGGTACAAGAAAATTTAGAAATTGGGATATTTGAATCAGTGAAATAAGAATATGCTGTAGGAAGAGTTAATAACGAATACGGATTTCCTTAAATAAATAAGAAAGAATAATATTTTAGTCGTCTTATTCAAATCTATTTATAAGTTAACAATATTATAAGTCTAAATAAAAGAACAACATAGTCAACATTAGCATAACAGTTAAATAAACTTTGGTATATGATTTTGAAAGATGATTAAGCACTTAGTACCGTCCATAGCAAAACCTACTATCGTAACTCGGTACAGTTTCAGTATAATATACAGTGATCATAAATATAGTGATCCGAACATTCAAAAATATCGACACAAGTCTCGTGTGCCCATTTGTGGCAGTTTAACACGTTCCGTGCCAAGCCGACTTTGCCCAACTTGGCATTTAGGCTACTTGATGTTTTGACTAAAGACTGATGTGCAAGGTGTTAGGTAGGTCGATGGAAAGTTTGCAAGGGATAGTAGAAAAGGTCATTTGGATCATATTTAGCTATATACACTTTTATGTAAAGTATCATGGTTCATGAAATGTTAGCCACTTTGCTAATTTTGCTTATTATCGGACATTTCCGAAGTAAACGATTATAGAAAGTTTATTATGATCTTTATAAACTTTGTATTTTTTTCTTATTTTCAGAAGATGTTTTATGTAAACCACCTAATAAAATATTTCTGAATGTGATTCTAAGTATTTGGTAAGCGAATAAAGCTGCATGCTGTGTCGTGTAACTAAAGTAAATTTTTAATCGTTCTTTTTTCAAAAACAGATAGTTCCTATCAAATAAAAATGTTTTCAAAAACTTCTTCGTTTTGTTACAAATTTGAAGTTTATAATAATCAGCAATGCTTTTCGTATTCTATTGATTTCAAAGTAACTTTCTAAACAATAAAAAAATGACTTTTTTGATCATTCCTACATAAAGAATCCCCTCTTAAGGACTTTTGAAGTTTTGACGTTTGTTAAACTTGTAATAAAAATAACTACGAAACAATCTTTATTAGATCAAGAACGGAACATGTATGTATGTAGGGGTCAGTTGAGACGAAAGTCATATCTTTCACATTGAGCCTATTTATAAGTCTGCATTTAAAGATACAGAAACCAAAATAATACTATAAGAAAGTGTGTTTGTTGGTATTTAACTCAAATTTAGCTTTACCTTGATAAGTAAATAAAGAAGGAAATAAAAAATAATCAGAACGAAGGATTTGTCGTCCGATAGAGCTGTACGACAGTTTTCGACAATCAGACGAATTTACTGTGATAATGAAATGCATACCAATCATCAGTATTATTATCAAATACAGCGGCAATTATATATAACAAACAAGAAAATTGACTTATTCTGTTTACGGACTCCTGTTTACGAAAGGAATAAAGTAATAAAGATAACAATTGCAGACAGACACACTTTTGGTAACTGACTCATCAGGACGAAAGTAACATTAATTATTCTGCAAAAGAATTAACTAAAAATATTTGTTTTTGACACAGAATATGATTTTTATTGTTTCTTTATGAGAACCATTTAAATGAACATATCATATTTTAAGTAACGATAAAAGTAATATTTGTGCATTTAAATAATGAAAAATAGACTAGTTTCAAGCATTTCTTTAGTACTATATGTGCAATTTATTTATGTATTCCTAATTACAATTATGACATGCATAATACATCACCCTTGGTACCGTGTCTACAAATTTTTGTTTCCATAGTAACATGTTGCTTTTGTTCCCAAGCTAAACAGAAGTCATAACCTACAGATTATACATGATTTACTGAAATTAACTATGGGAACCTATAAAGTTATCTAAGTACGCTTTAACAAGTGATAGGTTTAAAATTAATAGTTTGACTATGGTACTAACAAGAAATTAAATAGTTTGACTGTTATATTAACAAGAAAATTAGTAAGACAGTGGAAATCGTAGAAGTTTATTTGAGGGTTCTGAATTTCCAATTTAGTTTAACCCTTATTGGTCGTAAGTCACCTACCACGTGACTACGTTGGCGCTGCGGTCGCACATCACGTGGGAAATGACAAAGATGGAACCTGTCGAAATCCTAATTTTCGAGAAAATAAAACTGCGCGATATATTATTGAACGTCAACAACAGGCAATGAGGATAGATTAAATAGAAAACTATATATCTTGCAACTTAATGCTAAAGGAAAACATAACGATTGCTTAGTATGTTCTAATCGTAAGTTGCATGGAGGAAGAAAAGCAACAGTATATTTCTGTGAAATGTGCAACAGAAAACTTATAAATAATTATTTGAAACTCATATATTTGTAATACACCTTTAAAACAAAAATGTTATTATAATACTGAAGATTTTTCGCATATTCACGGAAACCTGTTAGAATCTACAGAGAGTCACGTATGAAGAACTAGCGACCGATAAGGGTTAACCGTCAATCAAAATGGCCTCATGGTAATACATGCGATTCATGGTATTTCTCGTTAACGATTAACGGAACAGAACAAATATTATGCAAATGCAATTAAGAAAAACAAATTGTCTAAAAAACAGTTGTGAAAGCGTGGGGAAAGATGTGCAGCTTTTATCACGTCATTACTTTTGTTTCCACTCTCTCCTACCTTATTTTGAAATATTGTCTTCTGTCTTTAAAATATTCAGTACCCTTTAAAGTATTCAGTACTAAAGTAAAGCATTTAGAAATTTTAGAATTTAGTACACAAGTATGTGATTTTTTTATATTTTACGAACTTTTATCATTGAATGTAAAATACAAATAATCTTTAATCATGTTTAAATTATTGTATAACACAGAATTATCTTTATAACATTAGCTATATTATGGTATTATTTTATAATTAATGTATTTGTAATCTAACAAATGTTTTACTGTTTGAAGTTACCAACATTACGTCAAGTTTTTTGCATAAATACAAATATAAATAGTAAAAGGAACATTAAGATTTATTAAAGAAAACTAGGCCTATCAATTATGGAACATCAATTAACTAGATAATCTCATAACTTATGAAACATTCATTAGAGTTTTTATCAAAAATGCAAAAAATTGCAATAAGTGCGCGATTCATAACAGTTTCCCAGGTTTATAATGAATTTCGTCTTTCCTGTTGTTCACTTTTCCACGATCGTATATACAGCTGCGGGGATATAATTTACTGTGGTGTTGCATATTATTGCATGTCTTCTTTGCTATTAATAACTAAGCAATTTTTCATTTAATTGAATGCAAAACAAACATCATGTCGGTCTGCTAACTTACTTGTTTTTCAGTAATCTATCAGTTTTCTCGTGTAGATGTAATAAGAATTGGACAATCTCTAATTCGCAAAAATTGATTTAAAATTAGTAACTAACAAAAGTTGATCACCGAGTTGATCTCGAGAACAAGATCAAGGTCAAGGTCGTTAGGGCAGAACTCTCTTCTGTCATTGTTTATCCATATTTTATGTATATTTTTTTATACGTATTTATTTATGCATATATTTTGTGAAAATTATGTAAAGGGATTAAAAATTAATTTTATATTAAGCGTTAAGGTGAAGTGGAGTAAGTGCAGACCGGTTTTTGTAAAGTTGGTATTTAAACGTAAGTATTTTCAGCCTGCTATGTAAATGCTTAACGCTATCGATATCGAACGCTTTGCACAATTACTACTATTTAATTAATATTAACTAGGGCCTTAATTTTCCTTGTACATTTTGATTTTGATAGGAAATTGTTTAAAATGTCAACTACTCTGCATTTTTCCCGAAAATGGGGTAAGAGCGTAACTTGAAGTTAAATACTTTGAAACTTTATTTCATGTGCAATGGAGCAAGAGCAGAATTATTAACAAATCTGTTATAAAATGCTTTTTACTGCACTATGCAAGTGCTTTATACTGCAAAGAAGTACTCTTAGCTGAAATATAAAAGGGGATATAGTGAAACAAAACAAGGAAGCAAACGTACTAAATGGAGAAATTTCGCTCATATTGTAATAAAAATAGCCTGTATACGCACTTGCCCCGTTTACGAACTTACCCCACTTCACCTTATAATTTAAAAATGCCGATACGATAACAAAAAATACATCAATACGGACTAGATTTACTAGATTTACGGACGCTTCATAACCACTTACATTTAAATTGAAACTAAATTATAAAAATAAATAAATAATGAACAATACATGAACCGCCTTATACCATGATTCTTCATCTCGATAGAGGTTAACATACGTTTTGCTTAAAACTTCTTAATAATTTTCGTAATCAAATGTGCTAATTTTTCTGTGCCTGTACTGGTGACAGAGTTAGAATGTAAAACAGTTTTGTAGATCACCTAGTGTAAGAAGCTTATGAGGTAGTTATTGTATTATAGAAAGGAGATTAGGCTCTTAGATAGCTGATAATGTAGATCATTTCAAGGTCATGTCTTCTTAGATTTTACAGCGGTCATTACTTTTTAATACATTCCGTGCGAAGGTAGCAGCTCGATTCTAATGAGAAGCCATAAATTGAATCATCAGGAAGCAGCGGTTTTTTGATGACGTTATTGTTCAGAATTTTCCACTGCAATCAGTTTTCAGGGTTTGTTTCCACATATTACATGAAGCATTTCTTGACGAAATGAGATACTTTTCTATGATTTCGTCTTAGCGCTTTATTTTAGAATTATATTTTATATTTCTTTGTATTTAAGCAACTTTACAATTTATTTAAATCTTATCATACAATATAGTTTCTTTGAACTGTTTGTTAACATGTTGTATACTAAAATTACCAGGAAAAATTAGGGCTAGAGAAGCGCTAATGTACAAGACAAATATTCAGTAGTGTAAAAGAAAATATTCAACTTGAGTGAATTCTTCTTATACATGTTTCATTAAGTATATTTACCATTAAAAACGCAGCGATAGGCCTTCCAAATTATCACGTATCGCAACTTAGTTTTAAAGCGTCAATCGTAATAAAATAATTAACCTAAGCAGCTCTGCCCCGAGTCATGTCGACAATAAGTTTATGAAAATATTGACCCTTTTTTTACCCAAGAAATACTTTCGCGACAGTGGCCCGAGTTTATTATTTTGAGACTAGTACGCTAATTTTCGAGACTTTTATGTTCACCTGTTCGATATCAGAGTTAGATTGCTTTCTTAGCTTGACTTGCCATAGGTTTTCCCAAGACTCGCGGAAATTCATTGTGAGTCATCTCATTATTACAGGTACTTTTCCAGAGTCGAACTTTTAATACTTTGACATATACAATATGAGTGACACTTAACACTATTTCTACCAAAAAGTGTCAATAGACACCTTCCAAATTTTAACTCTGAATTATTTTTAAAGTTGAATCATTTCTCCACAATTAATTTTTTAACTTCTCAGACAATAGTTATTAAATTGATTCAGTCGATATTATTCTTCCTGCTCATTCTAAATCTAAAAATGTACATATGGTATACTTATTTCTACCATGAGGTGCCTTTTGACTCCTTAAGGATTTCATGACAGTGCCTAATTTGAAGCCATTTTACATATAAATATCAACACCATTTTGAAACATTATATCAATTATAAATACAGGAGTTGCAACATAACTTTGATATTAGCTTATTTCTTGCCATATTGCACTTTAGTGTACACCGCTATATTTATGTATATTTTGTAGATTGCTGAATTATGCTACAATATACAACCTGATTGAATAATCTCTAATAAAAACACATCAATGTATCAATAAATATATGTATTCCTCAAATTATCTACATTTAACTGATAATTTGAAAACCTAACAATTTTGGCAATTGCATTCAAATAAAAAGATGCCAACAGACACCTTTTGGTCGAAATAGGTATACATATACATAATCATTATAAAAATAGTGTTAAAAACTGTTCCACATTTTACTTAGCCTCTTATGCATAGTCTGATATATTTTAATCTACCTCGAAAAGTTGACGTTTTTTAAATAATTGAAGTGAACGTTTGTCATCTGTCTGTATGTAAAAAAAATCGGTGCAACTTATATTCTTCTATCTCTTGCAAATCAGGCATTTCTTTGCATTCAAACGAAAAGGTGTCAAAAAACACAAAATCGTGGTAGAAATAGTGTCAAAGTGTATATCCGGTTAGGGAGGTCCAAAGTGCCTTTCGGCTAAATTAATCAATGAGTATATCAGTTAATAGAGCGTTCAAAGCAAATCATTTTTGTCAAGTACCAAAATGTTATTTCTACTTGAAGAGTAGTTTACAGGACGAAATACAATTTACAATTTAAATTTTATATTTTTTGTTGTACCGTGGAGGACATTTTGAAAAAAAAAAAAATGAAAGATATGCTCTATGCCGTACTTGTTTGTGAATTTTTTTCAGAATTTTTAAACGCAAGATGAATTTTGAAAAAGTTCTAAATGTTCAAAAATATATATATTTTTTTAATAGAACTCATCACGTGACCATATTTATAATCTTAAAGTAGAAATGTCTTGTCGTGATTATTAATCTGCTGTTTTCAGATTTCTTAAAGTGGGTTGAAAAAATTAAAAACCGATACTATGCGTGAAAAAGTACTTTTCGTTCTGAATTTGTGTGCCTCCTTTTTCAGTATATTTATTAAGTAATCTTAAATAGGTTCGCGTTCAGAGTTGATACAAATAATATATTAGTTAGGGAAATAAAATGTTTTCAAAAATTTTATAAAACATATAGTCAAATCTGAAAAAATGTAATTTTTCTTTTATTGACTTTTTCTAAATATAGTTTACATGATTTGTGAATTTAAATCGTGACTTTTAGAACATTGTATAAAATATTTTACTTAAAATAAAGTATTCTGTTACTTCATTAAGTATTATATTATACAAAACTTTCTGTTAGTTTTGTCAGTAGATTGAACCATAGTTTATTCACTGTATGTTGTTAACACGTTCTTCTTTTATAACAAATGCATACATGACCTTGAACCATATATTTTTAGTGTATTTTATTAAAAAAGCAATGCCAAGTAAAATGGAATTTTTCAAATATATTATAAATGGTTAACAGTAGAAGATTTAAAGACTCATTCTATATCATTTTTACAAAGATAAGCATGCTTGAAATTCGAAAAATCCATATGCAGTATACAATGACAGCGTACAATATACAGTATAATTACACTAAATAATTGCAAATTACAATTTTGTTTGTGAAACTTTCTGTTGAAAGTACATTAATATTGAAGCATATTCCAAAAGAGTAAGCATAACACTAGTGATTAAATGAAGATCTTGATCAATTCTCTTTGAAAAAGCAATTAATACTTGTGTAATAAATCTATAGTGATATGCAAAATTTGTAGCCCAATTTCTTATTTAAAGCGACAAAACTTGTTAGCCAACCCAATATTTACTATTTTTACTGAAACACTCCGTACGTACGTTACAATTAAAAATAAAATTCTATTCAAATTCATAAATCATTCTGACGACTATTACTGTCACTATTAAGTAATGTAATAACATCATACTGTTAATTGAGTGTGACAAAAGCCATGTCACACGCTTATCACCAAGTTATAGCAAACACGAATCTGTGTTGGACGGAACAACGCGTTTAATGGGTTAGCTGCCATATTAAAGTACTTGAAAATTTTATTAAGATTTATTTTCATTTTTAACAAGTCTTATGAAATGTTTTCACAATATTATTATTTATCAAATAATAGATTTGTTACATTTATTATTCATCCAGTAATAAATAAAATTTTTACACTTCTTATTTTAGATTACAAGTAGTTAATAGAAATATGTTCAGTTAAGTAAATTATCACATTCTTAATTATAAGGTAAATGTCATACTGATCAAACGGTTAAATAAACAGTTAAGATAACTATAATATTTTTGATATTTACGCAATATTAACAATGCAATAAATTCACTAAGACTAATTTGTTTAAGAATTCGACCTCGTGAAGTCTGTACCGATAACTTTGATTGCCTGGTCAGTGTCACATCACTAGTGAAATAAAATAAAATAAATTGAAATTCTTTATTATCTAACAAATCTAAACACCTTTACCATTTAAAAAATTGTATAACAGTTACAACTGTAACAAAAGTACTTCCTTGCCTGCTCGAGTGATTATTAAACATATTTAAAGACGTTCTATTGTATAATATTTTTGTGTGACATTGAATTATAAAAACTAAAACAGCTAATTTTCACATTTTGATTAGTTCAAATGTTTAAAATAAGCAGAAATGTACTTTTTAACGGAATTCCCACTGAACTTTACCCGGCTATGTTTGAGTACTATGGCTACCTTATGCACGGACATTCAAAGTGTTAAAGTCTATCACGTCTCGAACTGATTTAATTGGATTACAACGTATTGCATTAATATCTCGATGTCTCTCTCCTACCAATGTTAATTTTTTACACGATAATCACTTATCAATGCGAATATCAGGTTCTGTGGCTTACTTGAGCAGCATCGTGGGTCAGTTTAATGGCGAAGTCGTAGTAAACGTCCTCCGCGTAGCGTGCCATTTGGCTTCCTGGTGAATGGCGAGATCCTCGGCGTGAAAACAGGTACTGTTGGGAGCAACAGCACAGGCTACTTTTTATTCGTATCGAGTTAGAGCGTGTCGTAGGAACGATTCAAGGATGACTCGATTCATCGATCTCCGTCCATCCGTACAAGTTCGCCACGCAGATTCTCTTTCTCTGATTACATTTAATGATAACGAGGTTGATACACGCTTAATTTGACAAATAGTCGTCTCCATGGCTCAAGATATGATGCTTTTTATAAGATTTAAGTGTCTAAAGCTTAACTGGAACTGTGAGTTCGTTTAAAATTAGGGAGTTTTCGAGTATCACGTACGTAAATCAATTTAATACCTTTATATTTTATTTTTCTTGCATTCTTGTTTAATTGAGACATTATGTCGACGTATTATAGATTTGAAGATTATTCATCTTTAGAAAATACCGTTTTTCTTTATTTAAAAATTATTGCCATTGACAATTTGGTAATCAACATTGTCTCAAAAATCAGTTGTATTTACGTTGACTGTTGATAATACGCATATTAGGCATTTCTCTTTACATTTTAGTTATAACAATGCTGTTGATAGTTAATGAATTTACATAATGCTTTATTATAATTTTTTTCATTTAGTAAATAGATTTATTAAACTTTAAGTGAAAGTTGTAGTGTACTATTGATAGAAGTTTCACCGATTTTGGAAAAGAGGTTTCGAACTGATGAATGAAGTTCAATGAATTTAAAAAGTTTAATAATAGTGAATTGCAAAGTTTGTTCAATGAAATTCCATTGAATGTTTAAAAGTTTCGACTAATTTTTCGTCTAGAATAAATAAATGACATTAACAAAATGCAATTTGATTACTAATTTTTTTTATGTAAAAGAATGATTACGAATTCGTATTACTTTGTATTTTTCAGTTTTTCTAAAGTTCGTAGATAATAAATATTCAACTAATTTACATTGACATGTTTCTTACATATAGCGGTACATTATAATCATAAGCTCTGTTCAAAATACTCATATTTTTGTTACTATTACACAATTTTTTATCGCAAATAATTTTCTGTAATAAATGCTTTCAAGGAATACGTAAGACTTTTTCAAAATGACAAATTGCACTGTTTTCCTTTTTTATTTATTTATTAAAATATTACCTTAGAATTATGAAAAATATAAAAAGTGTGTTAGAGTATTACTACTGTCTTTCATTGTCTTAATGATATTTTGAAATATTCACGAAAACTGAAATTTTAGCATTATTTTCGCTCGATAAAATTTCTAATTTTTATTTTACTAATTATAATTCAAATATTTAATCACTGTTTTCCTAACAGTCTACTCTCTCAAAGTTCTTGATATGGTTTGAATGTATTAATGTAGCAATTAATTAAATACTTCAAATAAATCATTTTAATCAAATGAAAATGAGTTAGGATCCAGTTCTATTGAATTTATATATTGGCTGAGATGATTAGCTTCAATTTTGTAATTAAATTTTCTTTCCTTCCTGCTGAAATCTTTTTTGCATTGACTCCTAATTTTGAAATTTGGAAATTACTGTTTTTTACGACGGGAAAATTTTATTTCTAAAATTTTAAAACATTATTTGTAGGTATATGGTAACACTCATCCCATTTGTTCGCGCCCGAATGCTCGGATAAGTATGACGATTGAGGTAGGAAAAGTGATATTCACAATTGCAAAGTGGACTGTATATAAAAGCTTTACTGTTAAAACTTGGACGCGTAACTTATTAAGGTTCTGTCCCTTCGAAAATACAAGTTCGAATCCGTAAGTGTCCGACGGTCGGAACACTACCAAGCCCCTGTGGCTGCTGAGAATTTTCTAACGCTTTCCACGAAAATCAGGAATAAGGTAAACCCTTGAAGGTTCCCCTTCCAGAGTTGTTGGACGTTTTTGGCGTTCAAGTGGGGTTGAGAACTTTCCATATTTTTACCATGTGACAGGCAACTGTGATGTTTTGCACAGTTTTCTAATTTCTCTGCCTGCCACATGGTTTACAACATTAACCTCGACCCGAGTCAACCCTGGCCCAACGATGGGCTGACGATCCTGCCATAAATAAACTATTATTTATGGGCCCCTAATAAGTTCTCAACACTATTCTATATCAAAGCAAATATATTTGAGATTACAGTATATTATTACAGCATATAATGTATTATGTCAATTTTACTGTACATAGATTTAATGATCAAGGTCTAATCGAGGTTGTTAATAAAGTTTTTACATTTGTAACTTAGATTAAAAATAACTCTGAAACAACATTAATGGTGTTCTTAAAAACTGAAGCGATACACGATCGGTTATTATAAATAATTATGAATACATTTTAATATTTCATAACATAGTATGGTGGTCAAACTCAAGGATAGAATTTGTAAATTCAATTAATCACTTGCCTCATATTACTCCACTATTTTTGTTAATTTATATTGGGAAGTTTCTTCAATCAAAAAATCCAATTGCTATTTTATAAATGTTAATTTCGAATGAGTGTATCTGTTGCATAGTGCATTTACAATGATAAAAACATCTTATCTTTCCTTTTTAAGAAAATTCCATTTGTTTATTTTATTTTTAATTATTTTATTTATTTAAAGAATTTATTTTCGATTCAATTTCGGTTTCATTCATTTTTAACTGTATCTAATTTAGGTTATCTAATTTAGGAAATGATGTATGTGGGATTCGGTAAAGGGGAATTAATTTTTGCGTGGTATGAGTATGTGTGATGTACGAGTGTGAAACAAAAGAGTGTGAATGTGTAGTATAAAAAAACGCGACAGCGTCGAAAGGACAGTCTAGTCTTGGCCGAACCGTAGAAACGTGAACTATCATCAATATATTAAATTTTGTATTCCTTTCAATTTATTAAAATATTTACTATAACTTTAATCCGTTTCTCATCTTCTTGCTCCCATCCTACATGTATGGGACAGTGGAAATAGTGGATAATTATCTGGAGACCAATTATGATAAATTAATTAGACGGTTTCTTAATTTCTACCAAACTTGTATAATATTTTAAATTTATTTAAAACTGTAAAAATATATGAAATTCTAATTTTTAAAAATATATTTAAAGATAAAAATATAGTAGATAGAACTCTTCAATTAAGGAAGCCAAAATAAGGTCACTAGATTTATTTTTAAAACAAAGTTTTCAGAAAATATACGATCTTATTTTTACTTTTGTAAACGGTACACACTTTTCGGATGACTTAAAATACTAATGAAGGAGATATTTAGGATGAAAATACTATTCTGCATCGAAGTTGATTAAAATATTGTTTCAAATAGAAAATATTATATAATATATTTTATTTTATCGAGTGAAATATTATTTCAAATCGCAAATAATATCTAGTATATTTTAATATATCTTAGATTGAACCTGCATTGTTGATAATAAAATAATTTATTTGCAAGACAAGATTTTAAAATAGTATTTGAAATAATGTGATATATGATGAATATTGGAAATGCTGAGCATTATCTTTGAAACGTGTTTGGTTATTTTTATTTTTATTTCTAACGCACAAATCTCATTTTTAAATACACTAGCCAAAGGAATTAAGGGAACAGAAAAATTCCTTAAATTTTTAGGTCATATTCAAATTGCTCTGCCTCCGTTGAAATTCATCACAGGAGACATCCAGAATAGTCATTGTGAAGCTTCAAGTCTCTAGTTTTCGACCCTTTATCTCAAAAATTTTTTGGGCCTTTTATTACTAATGAGACATACAAAAAATCGCGATGAAAAAATTTTAGAATTTTTTTTCTTTCTTTTAAGATTTGTATAGACATAGGAAAATTTTTTTGACTAATGCTACTTCTAGTTTGCTGTTCCCTGTTCCTTCCCCTATAATTTGCACGTCCATGAAGTTTGTTTCGATGATCGGTTGCAAAGTTATGAGCTACCAAAGCCGAAATGACGCGTTTTCCTTTGATAGTCTCTTTCCTTTGATAGTCATTATCTTATGAACCCACTATCGAACAAAAATTGTAAGGACAGTTCCAGAAAGCGAAGAATGTACCCTCTAAGATGGGTATATCAGTTTCTGATTAAATGTTTTTTTTTAATATGTAATATTGATGTAAAGAAACGTTAAAAAACGGTGTTTTTTCCTCAAATTACAAAAGTTACGGTATCTCTGTAAATAGGTATCGCAATGATTATGCCTACGTTTTTTTTTTTAAGCTTATAGTGTCCACAAAAGGTATGCGAAGTTTCAAATGGCTCCGATTCTTTGTTCCTTATGACCTGATGGTTCAAACTTTGAAATTTGTACGAAAAGAGTTAAGGAAACGCCATTACTGTTCCTATCCGCGGCTAATCCGTTTGTTGGGTAAAAAAGGTTGTGTGATCTTCGATAGTAATCCTATTTTTGGAGATTGAATGAAATTTGGAAAATCGACTTTTACACTGATCATGATTTCTTTGAGAATACAGTTTTATTGATTCATATATCAGTATTTTTACAAGACTCAGTAATTTTGGAGAACAACTTTAATATTCTATTAACCTGTTAATCGGGGAATTCCCTTTTTAATTACGCAGCGTACAACGGGCGCGAACTTTTTCACTAGAACGTACTTTCATATTATTATTTTTTTTTTTATTTAGAACATGTCCACCACTCTCAATAGCGAAATGATACTGATTTTCTCTGTGCCTTAAATTCTTGTCGAAACATGTATCGATGACTAATACCTTTGTTGTACGAAACTATACGTCCCACTCGTTCCAGGGCGCAATTATTTTAAGGACGTATTTACATGTCCTACCCGTACACGCTATAGTTTACGTTTGACGTATTTATACGTCCCACCCGGTTAACAGGTTAAAATAAGATAATTCTATAGTTCTGTCTGTTGAGTTTTAAGTGTAATATCTTCAGGTAAAGTAGTGCCTACTAAGTTTCTTTCAGAACCTGATACAATTATTGTGACCAAGTATCAACTAGGTATTATATAAAATAATTATATAAAAATT